ATGCTCGGTTACAGCCAATGTCCAGCATTATACAAGTTATTCACTGCTGGACTTTCAGTAAATGCACAACCCTTCAGCATACTGATTTTAATGGTGAAAAAAACCTCAAATTCAAATACATCCAAACTATAACATTTTGTATTGAAATAATTAGAATTGTGAATAAAGGTATGTAATTTGCATTATGTATGTTATAAATTGTAGAAGTTTATGTTTAATTTTCAGTGGAAGGTGATTTTATGTGGTTAGCCACTCTTCATTATGGAGTTTGAGCACAGTTAACGAGAGTATACCATGGATCACGGTAAGAGAGGAGAGAGGATGTTATTACAACCCCAACGCTCTCCATGGTTCAATTTACATCCCATAGTCCTTTGCAAAATACAATATGGTGAAAACATGTTTCTGCCCCATTTCACATGCTGTGCTTGTATACTGCTGCCTCTTCTCTCATTTGCATAAACAAGTTGTGGTCATGATTTTTTTTTTCAGCTTTAAAATCAGGATTCAAACCAGTTTTGTTGAGTAAGCAGAATCGATGACAGGTTTAAATAAAAAAAAAGACTGATGATAAGACTTGAAACAAAGAAGATAAATCTGGATCTTCTCTCCTCCCCTACTACCTTTCATGAAACCACCCATGATGCTCTGCTTCATTTTATATTTTGCTATTTTCTCTATCCTGCACGCTATAATGTGAATATTTTTAATATCATATCTGTGAACACATTTCCCCACTATTGCAGGTGTACAGAACAGTGTTGGTTGGTTAATTAAGTTATTTTTAGGGATTATGTGTAGCATGGAACTCCCAGTGCGTAGCGAGCTGACCTGGCAGTGATTTGCCTTGTTTGTTGGTATATGGCATTATAATACTGGACATTGTCTTTAAGCTAATTCATAAAAAAAAAAAACACCATTAAGAATCCTCCAAAGGATATTGAAATGTTTGATGGGAAATTGTACTGAGATAGTGGTTTTCGGTTTTCATGATCACTTCATTTTGGCACTCGCTGTACTATTTTTAAGCTGTAAGTCGATCAGCAAACAAGATATATACCCCAAATTGAACAAACTCTTGCCTTATTGAAACATCAATGGAAAGGACAGATCGTTGCCCTTGTACAGACATTTTGTTCTGGTTCACATAACAATTAACAACAAGCAAACACACAAGATAAAATTATTTAATATCTATATAATATCTATTATATTGATACATTGCATCATTACTACATGAAATAATAAAAGGCACTTTATTGAAATAAATTATAAATTACCAACATCACCTTCAGGTTCTGGATAAAATACAAGAATACAGATAACTTAAAGCAGGGGAGTCGTCACCTGCGCATGCGTCTGATGGTCATAGCGTGTCATTGTTTACAAACAAGTGCCTACCCATGAGCCTTTGCGATTTTAGCGCGTGTTGTTATTGTCGCTTGGGACTCAATTCCTGTATGTTCGCAGGTGACGACCTTCCCGCTTTAAAGCAACAGGGTCATCACCTGCATATATTTGGGAATACATTTCTTGCCCTAAACAACCATAACAAACATTTGTAAACAACCACATGCTGCTTAATAGGTGATTTTCCGTACAATTGCGAGATCTCACGAGATGCATGAAAGACGCGCGTCGAACGTCTGTCGCAAAAATCAAACGATTTGATTTTGAACTAGAATTTCTTTATTTCGCAGCTTACATTGACCAGCCGATCTTCGACAGAGGAATATTGCTTCCGAATACCCTTACTTAATCGAAATTGCCTATCATCAAATGTGGACAGCACATTATTAAGCATGGAAATGTCCCCGAAATACTTTCACGTTTGTCGAATCCCACGCGATGTTTGACGCGACTACGATGCTATGACCTTTGTTTGTCCTGTTTTTACGTTCGATTTCAAGCATAACGCGTGATTCTCGCAGTGTACGGAAAATGGTCTATTGATAACTCCTTCGCTTTCAAATTTGCATCACATACTAAACTAAAACAATAGTTTCACAAATTATTTCTCAAGGCACCTCTATTTACCAAGTACATTAATTTGGGGAAGAGGATACAAGAACGGAGAAAGGGAATATTAGTGATATTAGTTTTTTGGGATTTCTAAATCGACAGTACCGATAACTAGTATATTTTATGTGGGAACTGGAGGTACAAATGCAGGAGGGGTGGCGATACACGAGGCAAAAATATTGCACATCAGAATATACCAATGTCCATATTTGGGCATTTCATTGCCCTCTAGGGCCACAAACTTGCATGTTAAATGCATTCTCATAAACATGTGCAATTATTAAAACTTCAAATATCTCATTATAAAACAAAAAATTTCAGTTTATTTTTAAACAGCACATAAGTAGATGATACAAGGTTGTGATTTTAAAATTTTTCTGTGTAGGGCAGCGGACAGGCTTACAAATTTGGAAAGATCACTGGGATAACAATGGAATAATGATTCTATACTATCACAGACAATCTTGCATGCAATTTTTTCATTTAATTTACACCACTGTACCAACAATTCTTGGTTTTATAAGAATCAAAACATTAAACACTGCTATAATTCTGAAATAAAAGCAAAAATGTTTTTCTCATGGTTGGTAATAAAATAAAGAAAGTTAAATTTCTGAACTACAAAAATAATTAATAAATTAGTATTTGACAAAGAAATGTGGTATTATCTGAGCCTTAAATGAAAAAAAAGGTTTTCTTTAATCAAACTAATTGGTAAATTAAGTAGATGCAAAACTGAAACTAGAATGATTTGAAAACAAAAGTAAGTTTTTTCAGCCAATTTGTGACTATGCTGAAAGGAAGATTTAAAATGGTTGTTATTTTTGAGTACAACAGAACCGACAAAAAATACACCATAATTTATTAAAATGAATTAACAAAGCATACCATATATAGGAACAATGAAGCACATTTATACAAGTCATCATGATTTTTTTAGCTTGGTCCACTGTGAATAGAATAAATCTATGCAAATCATAAGACCCGCTAATAATTTTGGAAAATATTGAAATGGCAGTTTTCACGGACGGAAAGTCATTTAAAAAAACTGCAACAAAACTTCCTATAAAAGAAGAAATATTGAATCAAAA